ATATATTTAGAAAAATATTTCTATGTATATAATTTTAATTTATACAGCAAGTTTTTTCCCAGTGAGAAATACAGAAAAATAACTTTTTTTTTTTTCATTCTTTCTCCTGACTCCAAGGAATGAGTCACATTTGCTTCCTTATCTGGAAGGCAAGGTCCTGAGGGTTGAGGCCTGCGGATACCTCATCCTTTCTCTTTTCCAGGGACCCTCTTCTCTGACTTTCACTCTTTCCCCAGTTAGAGTGGGCATAATCTACATAATAGCAAATGGGGAAATGGTCTCAGTTTTGCTCAGAAAGGTGGTTTCTGTTTTGATGACTGCTCATGACATACTTACTTGATTAGAAAAATACTGATGCCCAAGTTGCCAGTTTATACCTTGGATATCTGTCTTCATTTGGACTTCTGAATCTGTAGTGTTTCAAGAAAATTTTGATATCTTTGCTCAGAGGGACCCCCATAAATAAAGCAGCTCCTGTTGGCATGACATTCCTTTTATTCTTTGTTTTATTTTGAGAAAGAATTCTGATTTTCTTCGAATGCCTGCTGCTCACTAACTTCCCTATGAGATGAGTTGCTTTGTCAGTACCACTGACAAAGCCCCTAAGTATATATTTCCTCTGCTTTAAGCCAAATCTGAATATTTTTAAGTCATCTTTATGTTTTTTTAATGTTAATGTTTTAAATTAAGTAGATAGATAGTCTTAGAAAAAAATGTCACTTTACATCCAGCCTCTTTCAAGGCTAACTTAAAAATATATAACCATTTTATTTTCTTCATTATCACTTTCTCCTTCATTTTCTTACCCTATAGTCCAAAAGAATCTTTTGTATTATTTCACATAGAGGTTAATGACATTAAAAATACAAACTAGATTTCTATAACTTGATCTAAAAAAATAATATCATTTGTTTGATGTATATATCTCCATTTGGTACTCAGATATCATAGTATGTTTAATTTCTCCAATGCCTAAGAATTCACCTCCTCCTTTCTCTTTCTCTCAGGAAAATGCCTGGGTTCCCAAGACTATCTTGAGCTGGCTAACAGATTTCCTCAACAAGCCTGGGAGGAAGCACGGCAATTTTTCTTGAAAAAGGAGAAAAAATAAATGTTTTGCTTGGGTCTGCATTTGAGTACCCTGATTAATATTTTTAATTGTTCAAATAACCATTCTGTTCCTTAAGAAACTCATTTTCACATGTTTATATTCTCTCTTTGCACTGTAGATATGGTATATACTTTGCACTATTTATAATGACTTGTAGATACTTTAATGTTCTACTTTCTAATTTTGCAAGTTGCATTCTGTTTCATTTATGCACAGTATTTTGGATTTTGGTCACTTCTGCCCAGTCATAATGTACATCTGGCATTTGTACTACGGGTGAAATTAGAAAAGTCTGTTTTGTTCTTGTAATAAAATAACTTATTCAGTTTGCAAAGTGACATTTGTTTTTAAATTCTTGCTGTCTTTTTTGTTAATACAGATTTGGGTAAAAAAGTTAACTTCTACTCCATTAAAGTTAACTTGCCTCTTGCATTTCATGATAATAAAGACATTTGTAACACGTTTACCCTTTAACTAGATAGTATGTTTTGAGGACTATTTAAATGCTTTTGGAGCATTGTATTCATTGATCAGCCTAAAGTTTCCTAATTGGCAGAACTGGAAACTCTTTAGTACTGTTGTACTCTAATTATTCTCCAGGGGGGAACAACCTTAGTGATGTAAAAAGATCAATCATAAAGGATCATCCTAAAGTATTTTCTCAAATAACTGTGAAATGAAGCAGCGCTTAAGTGAAAATAAAACAAAGTCGGGGAAGGCTGTAGAGTAAGTTTCAAGCTCTCTGAGGTCTGCGCTCCTGTGACGTGTTGACCACCTTAAAGCGAAGGTCACTGAGAAGCCATTCACGGAGTGACATCCGCAGTAATTCCTGTCATACAAAAATTAGACATTGCCAAGAAAAGAGGTGGGAGAAAGGAGGGGAAGGATCTGAAGGAGACTCCGAATCATCACGGTGGGAAACTGAAAAACACGGAAGTTTCAAAGTTTTACCTACCTAATGTTCGAGAAACTTCTTTTTTTGGAGCCTCACAAAGCTGCCGATAGATATATGTGAATTCTGTTTTTACTTCTTTAAGTAAATAAAGTTCCATTTTCAAAAGAGAGACACTAAGTGGTGCCTGCGCACTCCGTGCTCCTCCATGGGCCCTGAGGTTCTCGCACGCTCGGGGACTGCTTCTGGGTGGGACGTCCATCCCCTCGACCCGCCAGCTCCACATCGGGAGCCAGGGTCTCAGGGAGTCCGCTAGAGGCTGAGATGCAGCTCTCGGGCTCCGCCGCCTCGGTGCTTGCAGACTTCGGTGCCGCAACCTTCACTGCCTGCGCTGCGCGCCTTGAGCTCCGAAGGGCAGAGCCCTGGATCCGGTGCCCGTAGCCCCTCCTCGACC